GAGACGCGCAGGAGGGGGGTACCTCGTTGTGGAGGGCGGAGGGCGCTGGACGGAAGCGTTTTGGGTGTTGGTGAGAGGGTGTGACGTGTGACATGTTGATCCTCGCTGCCATGTTTTGTGGGTGTTGGTGTTAAGCGTTATGGCTATGAGTTTCCGGGTACACGAGGTTCATAATGTGTCGGTGCGTGGGTCTTGGTTATGTGTATGTTGGCGCCGGGTTGACATGAATCGTGTTAGGACGAGACCGGGGCACGGTAGGTCTAGGAGGCTGCTTGTTTTGGGTAGTGCATGAAAAGCGTGGGCATGTTCGACTTTATTTTCCCAGTTAGGATCGTATGAATCGTAAGCGTTGTTGTCCTCGATATTGTGGCTGTATTAAATGTTGTGCAGGGTTATTGTTTTACAAATAAGCTCTGTTTGCAGCACGCCAGACGAAACCGCGATGGTTGCAAAAAATTCCTTATGGTATCTATCATACAACGTAAGTTTCTTCGCGTGGGTATAACGTTGCTCCAGGTTGCAAACCTGAAGGGGACGCACACACACCCACTAAGAATTGGGGTCTTATCGAGTCCCATCGCCAACACATTCCTGCCCTTGGAGTGGGAATGCGCGGAGACGCCGTAACTTGCAGGGCTCCAAAATGGTGGAACCCAAAGCGTGCCTGAGAGTTACCGCNTAACGTTGCTCCAGGTTGCAAACCTGAAGGGGACGCACACACACCCACTAAGAATTGGGGTCTTATCGAGTCCCATCGCCAACACATTCCTGCCCTTGGAGTGGGAATGCGCGGAGACGCCGTAACTTGCAGGGCTCCAAAATGGTGGAACCCAAAGCGTGCCTGAGAGTTACCGCCAACACCCAACGTAGTATTGGGTTGCAAGAACAAGTCTTTCAAACTGGCAAACACCAAACGACATGCATGTACGCAGGTTGGAGGCGCAGAAACTCGCCCGTGAACCACAACGGTCTCGGTGTTTTTCACCCATGTTACCCTTGATACTCCTTTGTTGCCGCAAGGCGTCCTCTCAATTGTTGTTGCCAACCAAACCTACACGTCTTTGCGGAGGCGCACGTATCCTTCATGGCGATGCTACGAAAAAACGAAGACGTTGACTCAACCATGCGCAAAAAAAAAACACTTCCCCCCCCCCCCGAAACCACAACAAAAAAACATAGCCATGGCCCTTGCAAGAAGCAAGCCTTGCCGTGACAGTGGGAAATAAAAACACCCTCGGGTTCGTTTGCTGCCGGCACTGACTCAACCATGCGCAAAAAACTAAACAACCCCCCCCCCCCCGAAACCACAACAAAAAAAATAGCCACGGCCCTCGCAACTAGCAAGCCTTGCCGTGAGAGTGGAAAAAAAAAACACACCCTCGGGTTCGTTTACTGTTGGCACCCGACCCCCCGAAACCACAACAAAAAAATAGCCACGGTCCTCGCAACAAGCAAGCCTTGCCGTGAGAGTGGGAACAAAAAACACCCTCGTGTTCGTTCACTGCCGGCACAGCAGCTTGCCCGTGGACCACAACGGTCTCGGCGTTCTTCAATCACATGTNCTAAACAACCCCCCCCCCCCCGAAACCACAACAAAAAAAATAGCCACGGCCCTCGCAACTAGCAAGCCTTGCCGTGAGAGTGGAAAAAAAAAACACACCCTCGGGTTCGTTTACTGTTGGCACCCGACCCCCCGAAACCACAACAAAAAAATAGCCACGGTCCTCGCAACAAGCAAGCCTTGCCGTGAGAGTGGGAACAAAAAACACCCTCGTGTTCGTTCACTGCCGGCACAGCAGCTTGCCCGTGGACCACAACGGTCTCGGCGTTCTTCAATCACATGTTATCCTTCATACTCCTTTATTGCCGCAAGGCATCATCTCAATTGTTGTTGCCAGCCAAACCCACACGTCTTTGCATAGTCGCACGTATCCTTGGTGCATAACGCTACGAAAAACAATGTTGACTTATGAATAACAGGAGCACACGCCCACACGCTTCCACTTCGACGATTGCACGAAAGCAAGCAAGTCCAGCAGTGCATGTGGGTGTTATTGGCCGCCAAACATCTCCTTCTCGAGCTTTGCTACCATTTGTTCCATAAATTTTATTCTCGTCTGGTAACCCGGCCGCTTTTTTCCCTCCTCTTCCACAATCTGCTCCGAATATTTCTGGCGGTCGGCGCACATTGCTTTCTGCAGAGCGTATTCAGCAGCCTTGGTATCGAGGGCAGCAGACTTCGTTTCCTCTTCCTCTTGTTTCAGCGCCACTCAGATTTCTCCGATCCGCCACGTGGCAGGAGCGGCTCAATATCTAAGAGTGCGGTTTTCATGGCAACGGACGTAGCCTCTGCCACGCTCTGCCTTCCCCTCTTCTCTTTCTGCTTCGTCCCCCGCCTGTTCTGCCCGTAGAGCCTCGCGCCCTCCCGCTTGGCGGCTGCCCGGCGGTCGGCACCGCCTGTACAGCCATCGCTCTCTCCGGTCCCGTCGTCCTCTCGCTGAGCGTCCTTCGGGAGGAGATTGTTGCACACTTGATCAAGCTCGGGGTATTGCTCGATTGCGCAACCGAGAATGTACGTGTCCGTGTCCCCTGTAAAAAAAAACAAAGCGCAAAGCGAGGGCGGGGAGTGGTCTGTTTGGAGCAATTGGTAAGGTGTTTGGTTTGCTTCAAGATACGCGATAAAAGTTCATGGTGCAGACAATCCTTTTCAATCAGGCCTCAATATGGACGTCATCCCGGGAGTACGTTTTACAACACTGTCGACAACTCCAAGTGCAATATCAAAACTCCGACCGTAGCAGCACTTACACGCTGAAGTAGGATCGGCACAATTGACGCCACGGCCACAAAATCGCCCAAGGTTCCTGGAGAAAACAGACGCTGTTTTGTACCCAGCCCTACGTCACCCATCTCTTTCCTTGGCAAAATGAAAGCCATGGCTGGTTGTTGCCGGATTCACTCTTCCAGTTGGCATTAGGCGTGTTCCATTTCGCCTTTGCCGCAGACCACATCTTGGTAATGTTTTCCGCCGAGATGTTAGATTGCTGGATGATGTTCGGGTTGACGTGACTCACTTGTTCGTCGTCCACGATTTTTCTCACCTGAAAAACGTCCACAGCACCCATAGGTCAGGCATACAGCGAGGGAGCGAGGGAAGGGGCAACGCAGATCATACACGTGTACCTACAAAGATGACGCCCCCCGGACGTGCGAGGAATTTAACTCGATTTCGATACGAAAAAAAAAAGAACGGGGGAATGCACCTCTCTTGCGGAAAGGGCCAATGTCGATCTGTTCCTGGCCTGTTATTTTCTTCTGGCATAAAATATGGTCTGGCTATCTGTGCATTCTTTTGAAAAACTTCAGCCCGTTTTCAATGTCTTTCACTATTATAGGCAACGAAGCAACTACAGCAGCATCTACAACAGTATGGTCGTCGGCGTCAGCAACCACTACATAAGTTACCGGTAGACGTCAACAGCAGGTTGACCCGCTCTTGGAGTTGGATACCTAATGGCATAAATGGATTTTGCTACCGCGCTAGCAGGCACCTGCAATACTCATGTTGAGTACCATGCCAAAAATAAANCGGTGACCTCTGTCCACGAGTGTTTCCGCGGCCCAACTGCTGAGGTGTCCAGCTCCTGCCGGGTCGCCTGCAAGCGGCTGTTGATGACAAGTGGGCGGATGGAGTCTTCGCACAGGATCCCAACGAGCCGCATCATGCAGTGTGGGCCCTTGCGCTCCGTGATGCTGCCACTCCCTCCGGCGGAACCACCCCCGTCCGGTCCGGCTGCACCACCCGTGGACGAACTCCCGCCGGCAGAATCCTCCAGTTCCGGTTTGTCTTCCTTCTCCATGGCGTCGTAAAGGTCCGCCACACTGTAGTCCACACCCTCGACTGTAAACGGTTCAGGCTTGTCACGTGCTAGGGCGACCATGTTGACGACGCCTCGAAACATTAGCAGCGTTTTCGCAGGGATGACTCCCTCCTCCTCCCCCTCCTCCTGCTCGCTGCCGCGTCCAGATTTGCCAGCGCGAACGCCCGGATATGAGAAAGCGGCCCAGACAATGAATACGCCTTCGCATGAGAGGAAGCCTCAGGTGTACACGCCCAAGTTTGGCAAAACTAATATTCCTAATGACTGTCCTCCACAAAACATCGTTCACCTTACCTTACTTCCTCTGGGCGTGAGAGGACAGAACACCCAAAGATTTACCGTATTGGTCGGTGCACCACCGATTGAATATCGTCAAGAAAGCATGCCGTGTGGTACGCTGTGGGTGCCTTCAATATCCTACCTACTGGGGCAAATAAAACAGCTCTCGAGCATGCCGTAATTTACCTGCTACTGTACAAATAGGTTGGTTTGAAGCGGGCACTACACAGCAGTAATTTTGTCTTATTTCCTCTGTGCACACTGCGTTCAATTGCAGAGTATCTACCTATATTTTGTCGATACTATGTGTCGTCTGCTGCGACTCTAATCGACGACGAATCTACACAATGCCAGCATTTCGCCGGCTGCGATAGCATCGAGGTCGTCAAAGTACGGAGATGGCCGTTTCATGTTGGCGTCGAGAGATCGCAGGGCGGCCACCAGGACATCCTTGCTCTTCTGCGACATCCTCGGGATCTTGCGGTGCGCGCATGTCCGCTTCAGAAAGTGTGTGGCCCAGTGCGGGTAGTCCTTGCCCCGTTTTTTTTTGGCACTCGCGTGATGGGATGCTGCTGCTTTGTTCTTCCCTACGACGCTGCCGCCGGCGCTCGCCTTTCGCTTGCCGTGGTTTGTGGTCCTCGTGCCCGCTCCCCCTCATTGCTACCCGAATTTCGTTTTCGAACACGACATATCCCGACTGTGAGCCAATGTCCGACGGAGCTGAATTGTCTTCTACCGACACATGCTGCCACTTGACGTCGGGCTGTGCCCCCCCCCTCGTCGTCGTCGTCGCCGCTCTCCGACTCGATCCAATTTTTTTGTGGGGCGTCGCCAAATCGCTGTCGTTGAGAACCTTTACTAAGGCCGCCTGACGAGCTTGCCGATCAGCGTCGTGCGAGAAGCCCGGCATCATCACCGCGCCAGGTGGAACCCCCTGTTGTGTACCGGTATGGGGGGTAACCCTGCTGTGAACGGCTTGGCGGGCCATGCCGCTCGGAGCCCGCTGTGTCGCGCCAGCAGGCGCGGTCGGGGCGACCCCATGCCCAGCAGCAGCACCACTTTCACCTGCATCCTGCAGTCTCAGAAGCAACNGAACCCCCTGTTGTGTACCGGTATGGGGGGTAACCCTGCTGTGAACGGCTTGGCGGGCCATGCCGCTCGGAGCCCGCTGTGTCGCGCCAGCAGGCGCGGTCGGGGCGACCCCATGCCCAGCAGCAGCACCACTTTCACCTGCATCCTGCAGTCTCAGAAGCAACGCTCTAGATGGCCGGCCTGCCGCTGCTACGGCGTTGTTGTTCATGGTGTGGGTTTATCGCGTCTGCTGTGGTATGTGTCGGGCCTCTCGCCTGGTCGTGACCGGTGTGTGTACGTCGGCATCGACGCTTTCCGGGATTTTGAAAAAAAGGCGCGCCTCTGCCGATTAGAACCAATGGAAAACCCGGAACCGGTTCCGTGTTAAAAATTACGAATCGGTGACAAAAAAACCGGATCGATAAGAACCACCCTTAGGCAGTAGACTAGTCGTAGACTATAGGAGTCCCGCCTTCGAACGGAACACAGATGAAGGAGTAAGGGAGAGTACACGGACGTGGCCGGCTAGTAGGTGCATCTCGCCAGCCCCCTCACAGGATTGGGTGCTCTGCTGCCTCAGTGGCATTGGTACACAGCAGCAGCAGCAGTACAGCGAGCAGCTGCCTCCGCAACAACGGTTTGACGCCTGGAAAGTCACCGCGGCAAAGGGAGGAAGGTCGGCGGGATGAGGCTGAGGGGTATACACCCAGTCTCCTGGGAGCCTGGGACAAGCCTGGGAGGGTGAGTCTTCGCTTCAGCCCGTCGATCCTGTGGGTGGCAGCCCGAACCAACCCTGGGTCGCGTTAACACTACTACCGTCTAGCGCCGGAACCTCTAATTCTGGCCCTTGCTTGTACTGCTGTAGTGTTGGATATCGATTCAAAAAATGGATTCGATACGATATCGCCCGTGAGGTGTTCGATATCGATATCGATATCGATATTAGCGAGCAAAGCGAGCCGTCGCCAGCCGTCGAGCACAGTGAGCTGACGCGCGAAGGCACTTGGGCTCGCTGTGCGAGCCCAAGCGCGCCTCCCCACGGCTGACGAGGGGGCCCCGCTGGAGCCGCCGCCGGAGGCAAAAAAATTGGAGTAATTTCGCTTCATTTCCCATCAAAATTACCCGAAAATAGGCCTCCGAAACCTGCCGTAAGTGTACAGCCAACTGCTTGAAAAACAATATGTATGTGGGTAATAGTCCATCTACATCTAGTTGATAATACTGCCTCAAGAAAGCTCAGCGGTATCGCACGTCGCAACAAAAAAGCAAGCTTGCTGTCACAGAGCAGTCAAGGTCTCACAACAATGAGTATAAATGGCACAATAATCAGAGATAAACGGATAGTACGTAGCTGCAGCTGCTTCGTTGAATGCGCGCATTTCACTGCGTGCAGCTGCTGTGTGCTGTGTGGTGTGCAGCTGTGGGGGTTCCGTGTGGAACATCAGGGGTTACCTGGAGTATTTATCGATTTATCGTATCGATATCGAAGTATCGAAATATCGAAAAGTTCATGTTTTCTATATCCGAAATCGATACGATAAATCGATACGATTATCGAAAAATTCGATACGATATCCGATACTATTGTACTGTACTGTATTTTTTTCTCTATATGGCAAGCTGACAACGACCACATAGGTTTTACTGCACATGTAGGCTTCTCGACTGAGCACCCGTTTTTATGGTCACGTTCTCAAACCCATGTTTGTTTTGAGTCTGAATACCTCAAGTCCCAAGTTCTCAAGAAAAGTGTTGTTTTCGTCCTCTATTCATTTTGGCAACAGCCCATTTTCGTGGTGAGACGTGTAGGCGCTAACTGTGTGGGTTCAATCAAAATGAAGACTGTAACCCGTTCGATATGATAAATAACCGTACTTGTCGTCGAAGGGGATGGATTGGAAGTCTTACTTCAACCTTAGCAAGTGGGAGAACACTCGCTTATGCTATTCCTGAAGTAGCACACAATCAAAGCACTTTTTGCCAACGACTGGGCGCCGAGAGGGTTACACGAGCATGTTGGTTGATGAATCGGAACTGTTTTACTATTCCGAAAAGTGTGGATGATTCAGGGTTTGGTGAACGCTTGGAAGCAGGAGGCGGGAGACCAAGATCGCTGCTGTCGTGTATGATGGCTCCCGATGCGTTGGAATTGTAAAGCCCTGCTCGCACCTCCGGTTGTGTGTAGGCGGAGCTGGTGCTTGCTGGAGAATCCAAACACCCGCGACACGTTATCATCAATCCTGACCCTCGCCTGTCTTACCAAAATGTTCAGTGCTATTTTGCCTACGGTTAGGATACTGTATTCCCTCCATTTCATCGGTATAGATCGCCGAGCAATCACGAGGAAAACGAACAGAGGGACTGTACCATGCTGCCCGAGTGGGAGCGGTACGTCAGTGCGTTCAGCCTCGCTCGGGTCCTGGACAGAAAGAGCAGAAATCAGTGTGTCGTGAGTTCTTCATGCTTTCTCACACACCCTTCCTTGGAGATGGATTCGCTCGCCCTATAAGCAAGCAGGCCACCCGGCTTCGGTAGCTGGTTGTTGCGCGGGCGTGCCCGTAATTGCTGGGCCTCTTGATGCCGCTCTGGTCACCTGTTGCCGCTTGGTTGATGATGATTGATACTTTCGATGAACAGATGGCATACAGAAGCTGGACGCTGTGGACGTTTTGGGCAGCAGCTACTTTTACATCATGTTTCTCCGAGTGAACACAACAACGATATATCGTATGCATACCGTGTGGGGCGGACAGGTGGCACCCCCTCTAGACCGCTTGTTAAGAGCTCGACTGCTCCACAACCGAGGTTGTACGGAGAGAACACGATAATTCTAGCGCAAGCCCCCGATGAGGTGCTTCCAACACCACAATTGTTGGCGTTCGCACAATCAATCTTGGTTCTAGAGCAATCGGGCCTTTTTGATGTCAGCCTAGGTGGGGTGCCATATGTCCGCCTCTTGCGGTACCCGTTATCTGTGTCTCCCTCGCTGTTATCTCATGGTGTAGCCAATCTCATCAACATCAATTCCCCCCCAGGTGGTCTGCGGCGTGTGCGGCTCGTACAGTGGTCACCTGTATGAACGGCTCGGAGCTGAGCTCGGTGTTCTGGACGGCATGACCATGAAGAGCGATTTCTGCGAAGAACTAGTCAGCGCGTGCAACGAACAGATCACCTTCCCCACCTACGACGGTGGCGATGACTACTGTACGAAGCATACCGGCGGGGGGGAAGACCAATTCTGGTCGTACCCCTACACTGAATGTAGGTTGCTGATACTTGCGCATTGCTTGAGATCGCTTAAGCACTGTATACGTAGGATATCTTCACCATTCCGCTTCAGTACATGTACACTTAGCCGAAGCAATGCCGTAGTCAGAAGTTCCTCTGACACTTCATGTCTCTGCCGCATGCCCTTGTCTCGTCCGTGGCTTTCACTCCTGTACCTTTCGACGTCTTGCGGAATACGGAAAATATGTTGACCTCGATGGTTTGGCCATTGACAAGCCTCGCTTTCGAGCCATTTATGGTTCTTCACAGAGCCAATCAAAGTAGGGGCTAGACCGAGCTCAAACTGCATCAAAACTATTCGTTTGGTCTTGTCCGGATATTTTCTCGCCACCTTCAAGATGAGTCCGGACTTGCCCACCTCGCCTCTCTCTGTAGACTGTTCCGTATACAAGACAATGCGACGGCTTGGTATAGTAGGTGGTCTCCCGCACAAACAACGAAAGCGCTGCACGTGTACTTCCGAGGCCGCGAGACTGTCAGGGAGTGCATATGTTGGATTGCTCTCTTTTTCCCACCTGAAATCCCGCAATGCAAGTCAAATGGCACAATTCGTTGCTTGCCTCACGCCCTTCGTCTCAGTTTTTCGCTTGCGATGCTCTTGCTTGCAATGAAATTTGCTTGCAATCATTTGCTTGCAATCGTTCGCTTGCAAGATGCCTATGACCGCCGAGGGCAACGTACTGTGGTTCAATGCCATCCCGACCGCGCCGCAATTCCTCTTGAGGCAGTGAGTCAGACCCGCTGGTATCACATGATCGTAACACAGCTATAGATATTTTATCACCGCATCGTAACGACCCCCCTGCTTTTCCCCTCTGGGCACTCCTCTCGTCAACACCTGACCTTCCCCCCCCCCCCCCCCCCCCCCCCCCCCCCCCCCCCCCCCCCCCCCCCCCCCCCCCCCCCCCCCCCCCC